GGTGTTAAAATATTGTGCAATTTGTGTATTAAAAGTAACTAGTCGTGTCACATCTTGACATTTTATACTGAAAACATGTCTAGTTATTTTTTCTGTTGCGTTTTTGAGCACTAGTTGAGAAAGTGCTTGTGTGTTTTAAATTTAGTGCTGTCAAAATAAAAGGCATTTAATATAAAGTTAAATAAATATCCCCCCCAAAAAACATTTTTTTAGATTGAAAGTGACAGTAAAGAAATGTATAATGTTACAAAATATTTCTATTTCAAATAAATGCTGTTTTTTTTCAAACTTTGTATTCATCAAAGAACCCACAATGAAATAAAATAAAATACTTATGTATCACAGTTTCCACAAAAACAATAAACAGCATAACTGTTTTCAACATTGATAATAATAAAACAAATGTCTCTTGATCACTAATTTCTGAAGGATCATGTGACACTGAAGACTGGCATAATGATGTTGAAAAATCAGCTTTGCCATCACAGGAATAAATTAAATTTTTAAATAAATAACTGTTATTGTAAATTATAGAAATATTTTACGATAATAGTTTTTTTTAATCGAATAAGTGAAGCTTAAAGCTTAAAACAAATATATAAAAAAATATATATAAATATAAAAATAAATAAATAAATAAAATCTTACTGACCACATCCTAAATTGTGTGTGTGTGTGTGTGTGTGTGTATATATATATATATATATATATATATATATAGTAAAACTGTTTCCATTTATAAGCTTGAATCAAAAAATGTCTCAAAAATGAAAGGTTATGTGTAAGAATTATGGTGAAAATTAAAACAAAAATGAACTTGTTGCCTGTTACTTGTATCTGTGGCAGGAGCTGATTTCCCATGGAGAGCAGTATACCGTTAGTCAATTATGGAAAATCTGTATCTCTATCAAATGTAGGTGTAGCAGTCACGAGCGAATGATGGAGAACCCAACTGCGTCTCCATAGCAATATAATTATAGAGCACTGCATTAAGGAGTTGCTTGGAGAGTGACTGTTGAATAAGAGGCAAATCTAAACGGGGTGCTGACTGATTGAAGGTGTCGTGGTTGTGTATGTGCGTGAGCTGAAAAAGCGAATGGGACCTGGGTGTAGATATCTAGAGGGGATCAGAGCCAGCTGTGTCATTTCATTAATGGCACCAAAATCCCACGATCCACTTCATAGCATACCTTACCTAGAACCCATCAGGCTGACCTTGATTTATTTCCTTTCCCTCTACATACCTCCTTTTCTTTATATCAGGGTTTATTCGTCCTCATACTCTCTGTATTAACCCTGTACACTGAAAAGAAATTGATGTAGAAACCATTTTCACTTTGAAATTGTTTGTAAATTTCATTGATTACAAAGAAACGACAAGTAACTGCGGAAGTCTGTTTCTGCCAGAGGTCTTTTTATATATATTGAGTAAAACACAATTTTGTATATATAAAACACAATTTTGTGTATATATATATATATATATATATATATATATACAGTATAGTAACTCTTCCCAAAGTTTTGTTTAAAAGAGGTAAAGTTTCAATTTGTCAAGTGGCAGATTTAAATAATTTTCAGCCAGCGCTCACTTATTCTCGCAGGTTCCCACAGAGTCCCATTTCCTCAGCGCATGCCTTCAGTAACAATAATAACCATCAGCCCACAGAACATGAACAAACATGCAGCACAAAGACGCTCCCTGGAGCAGGTCCATTACCCGCCATCATCAGTAGTGGGGTGTGGGGGGTTATAGAGAGACCACAGAGAGGCATGCAGATCTAGACGCAGAAATCACATCCTTCCCCCTGCTGAAGCGGAGGTCTTTTTATATTACTCAAATGGCCAATCAGCCCCCTCTCTCAGGAAAGTCAAATGCTTCTTTCATGGGTCTGATGAAGCATAATGACCAGCGGACAATTTCCACTCTTGGGGCCTAAAATGGGATTTGAGTCAGTCCTCGGGGGCGTGTAAGGCCCGTAAATTACCTCAGTGTGTGTTCGGGCACCTGTAAAAGGCTTTAATGCAAAAAACATAGGAGAAACACACCTCCAGCCTGGATCCGAGCACTGGATGTCAAATTAGAGTCTCTAAAAGCCCCTTTTTAAGACCCTACGCAACCCCCCTGTGGTCTTCAAAATTATTGAAACTAGTTCTGAACTTTTTCTTAAGACATGTTAGACTCATTTGGAACCTAAAATGTAATGTGAAATGAAAGATGCTGGTAAGGTCACAGAAAGTCATTTCTGAGGAATTATGGATGCATGAATAGATAGATATATAGATAGAGAGATAGATCCATTACTTTAGATCAGTTGACAGGTCTTTAAATAACACCATCCACAACTGTGAATTCAGATCTGCACAGATGGCTTCTTACTCAGCTGTACATATGTGAAGTGCACACACACTGTTAATCACCGTGATAATGTATCACTTTTTTTCTCTCTCTCCGATGATCTGCCTCCTACCTTCTCTACCAGTTTTACTGTTTTATTTGCATTTATATTTACATTGATTCGCTTGGCAGATTCACCAAAGTAGCTTAAAATGCACATACTGTTGATGTAAGAGGGTAAATATGTTATACCTCATTTGCACAGATACAGCTGGAATAGCCAACATCTAAGAGCTTACGGATATGACAATCTGTTAACTAACCATATATACATTAGAGATAAAAAGTAGATTTTTTTTGTTTTGTTTTATTATGAATATGTGTATTCTAGCACTCTTCTCAGACTTCCAGAGCCCTCTTTTATATATATTTAAATATATATATATATATATATATATATATATATATATATATATATATACACAGTATATTGTGATATCGGCTGAGTTGGATGTGGTACTGTTTTCCAGCACACCATGAAAAATCATGCAAATTACCATATCGTTGACTGTTTCTACTATTCATTTCATTATTTGTTATTTTTATATGTATTTTAAGTTGTGTGCATGTGGTGATCAATTAAAATGCAGCTGTTTTTCTACTGTGATTTGAAATGTTATTGTGTTCTATACACTAGCGTTCAAAAGTTAAGAGTCAGTTAAAATAATTATTAATAACAATGTAATAAATTAGTAAATTTAAGTTTTAATTATTGATTGAAAAACACTGAAACAGAAAAAAATGTTATCTTGCACTTTCTATTCATCAAAGAATCCTGAAAAAACACAGAATGGTTTTCACAAAAAAAATAAAAAAATAATAATAATAACAATTATAATAATAAATAGCACCAAATCAGCATATTAGAATAAACAAAGACTGGAGTAATGGCTGCTGGAAATTTAGATTTGACATCACAGGAATATATTATTATTATATATTATTCATTTATTTTACTGTATTTTTGATCAAATAAATGCAGCCTTGGTGAGCATGAGAGACTCATGTCATAAACATTACAAAATCTTACCAACCCCAAACTTTTGTAATGATATTTTATGTGCAATGTACGTTCGGTCGAAAATTGTATTAACATCTCATTTACATTCTGTACATACATCCATTCTGTAAATTACCATTAAAACAATTAAAAATGTAGATCAAACTATATCATGGGTTTGTGCACAAGTGGCAGTTTTATTTCGGCAATTTTGTTGTGAAATATGAAAGATGTGACCTGTAAATAGTATATCTTCAGATGATGTTGCTGGTAAACATTAGTTCATTATTAAAACTATTAAAAATGTTTTTGACGACTACAGAACAAGGACAACTTGTTTTACTGCTTCAGAGACCATTGACTTTGCTAGCTGCAGGAAGTAGTTTAGTAACCTCAGCAAATGCGTGACATGTAAGAATTGAGTTCTACTCTTTGAAGACCACTGTCAGGAGAAGATTGAGCACAGGAAATAGAAAGCCAGAGGTCAAGAATATATGGATCGGGGTAGCTCTTACTGCAGTCATTGTAAGCACAGGTGAAGTGAAGTGTGTGCAATGAAGAAACAGACATGGTCCCTGATCAGAGGAGCTTATGAGAGACATAAAGTCCAGATCTTCAGAGGTAATGAAATGTGCATAATTGAGTAAATAACCCACAGGAGGATAGGAGTTCTCATGCTGCAAAAAGAACTGCATCCACCAGCCAATGTAAAAATCTTAACATCTGAAGTGTTCAAGAAACAAGAATGAAATACACACACACACGCATACAAGTATGTTGCATTTTGAAGAACTTTAAAAGAACATATTGAAGTTATGAGACATTTTGATGACATTACACGGTTTTGAAGATGGTGGGTTTGTTTTTGCAGCCTCTCTCTGTGAAAGACCACCTCCTTTGGGAGTTGTGATTTCGACAGGCTTGAGTGTGTTTTTGGGATTGGTCCCCACTCCGGGAATGATTCCCAGTTTGAGAAAAAGATGCCCATTCTTTTGGTTTACTATGGTATTTTTCCATCTGGCTGTACTAGAAATTTGTAAACATAAGAAGGGAACAAGATGGTCTGTTTCTTCACAGTCTGCAGATATCCATCAAATGTTTATAAACGTCTTCATGCATATGCTATCTATCTATCTATCTATCTATCTATCTATCTATCTGTCTATCTGTCTGTCTGTCTGTCTGTCTGTCTGTCTGTCTGTCTGTCTGTCTGTCTGTCTGTCTATCTATTATTATTATTTGATATCGGATTTAATGGCATTTAATGGTAATTACTTAAATACTTTTTGAGCCACTGTACATTTGTTCATGAAAATATAAGGGGGAACAAATAGTCTCTCTTACCTGCATACTCAAAAATGCTACATAAACACACATACAAACCTAGGAATAACATTTTTGTGGTTTTCTATTTTATGCAAACCTGTTTTTTTTTTTTATATACTTTTATGAAAAGCAATAATAAACACTCTACAGTGGGAAAACCTATTTGTGAGATGCTGGAAGAAATGTTAGCAGTGCAGTATGTGATAAATGTATCAGGTTAAACGCGAGTTTGTTGGGTATTAAAGATGGTGTTTTGTCTTGTTGTTGCCCTCGCAGAGTACATGGATCTCTCCCCATTCCTGAGCTACTTCATGTCAGGTACAGTACGGTCGGACTAGACTGATAGCAGTACTAGTTGTGTTTGTAGCATTACTAGTAGCATAGAAAAGTCCAGAGTTATTTTGTAGCTGTGTAGTTATATTAGTTGTTGTAAATGTGTCCAGTTCTCACAGCATACAAATTAAGTCATTTTGAAAAGAATAATTATCTTTGAGGTTAGGGGTGCTCCGATCAGGATTTTTGAGGCCGATCACTGATCGCCGATCACAGAAAGCAGTATCTGCCGATCCGATCACCGATACCGATATTTTTAAAGCCTTCTTTTTTTCATGTAGAATTATTTATAGTGATGATCCAGTCAAGATTTTTAGACATTTATTCAGGGCCTGAATTTTTGCATTTAAATCTTTATTACAAGCAATCCTGTGGTTCATAAAGAACTTTAATTAAGAACTTTAAAATTATTGCCTTGTTTATCTAAAAGTGCTCTTTTCCTTTAAACCTAGCCAAAAAGCCATAGCCTATGTGTTGACTGTGAAACACAGTAGACTTTAATTATATGCATTTATGGTGTAATTACTACATTTTTGTGTCAATGCATGATCATATTTACCGCAAACAATGCGCTGTTACTTTAATTCAGCGCGTGAGGCGCAGCAAAAATAGACTCGGTGCGGAAACGATCTCTGCACTGCAGACGCACCGCTCCTAAACGCACTGCCAGACCGCAACTGTGTGTGCAGTGTGCACGGTTTAATCCGTTAACATGAGCACAGAAAAAATACGCACCACATACGCACTGCAAACAAAGTAATGTGAACCTGGTGTTATGTGTGTGCGCTGCGAGTGTGCACGAGTGCACGGTCTCCAGGAGAGCACGCAAGCATTGAATGGTTTAAACACTGGCAAGAATTTAAAAAAAAAAGCAATTTATAAGCTTTAGTGATGGTGTGATACTGCCTTGATGCAAGTGACAATTCCTGTGTCAACTGTGCAGCATGCAGCTCACTTATAGTGCAGACGCGATGTGATTTGAAGACATTTGCATTTTGAGAGAGAAAGAGCGCGCGCGTGGTGATTCACTCACGCCCTTTGTGAAATTATGTCAAGTCAAGTCACCTTTATTTATATAGCGCTTTTAACAATACAGATTGTGTCAAAGCAACTGAACAGCATTAATTAGGAAAATAGTGTGTCAATTGTCTCACAGAAACTTTTTCAAATGACGTTATAAGTTATTTAATGAAGAAATATGAATTGTACCTCACCTAAAGCATTATAATTATTTCACTCGCGCCGGACAGAGACTGAGACGGCGCCGCTGCATGTCATGCCAAACCTCTCACGTGACGGCAGGCGCGTCATCAGCTTGAGATCGGTTTTATGAGATCTGCCTTTTTAGAGATCGCCGATCAATCATCCCAAAGCAATTATCGGCCGATTGTGAGCGGTAGCCGATCAATCGGAGCACCCCTATTCGAGGTACTACAATCAGAAGTGTTTTATGTCCACCCACCACATAGTCAGGAATAAAGCAACTATGAAGGTCGCTTGATTTTTACAGTATCAATCCCCGCCGCTGTGAAGATTCCTGTCTTAAAGAGTGTTAATTAATGAAATTGCTTCTTCATTTACAGCTGATTGGAGGGCATGCATTGACTCTTTTAATTACTGGAGAGAAGAAATTGGTTGTTCATGCCTTATTCTTTAATTGTTTTCCCACAGCCAGTCCTTAATTGAGACTCCGTTGTGTTTATTGATTCAGTTTGATGTGCTTTAATTTAATTTGGATGATGTGCTACACACACACACACACACACACACACACATATATATATATATAAGGGGCAGAGCCATCATTTCAGAAGTGAGGGGGACAGAAATGTTATATATATAAAAAAAATGTATAAATTATACACACACACACACACACACACATATATAAAACATTACAATATAACGTTTCTGTAATCTATATAACCTACCAGTCAAAAGTTTTTGAACAGTAAGATTTTTAATGTTTTATAAAGAAGTCTCTTCTCACCAAGCCAGCATTTATTTGATCCAAAGTACAGCAAAAGCAGTAATGTTGTGAAATATTTTTACTATTTAAAATAACTGCTTTCTATTTGAATATATTTTAAATGATTTATGTGATCAAAGCTGAATTTTCAGCATTATTACTGCAGTCTTCACTGTCACATGATCTTCAGAAATCATTCTAATATGCTGATTTGCTGCTCAAAAAACATTTTTTAATTATTATTATTAATGTTTTTTGAGCAGCAAATCAGAATATCAGAATGATTTCTGAAGGATCGTGTGACTTGAGTAATGATGCAAAATATTTAGCTTTGAAATCACTATAAATTACATTTTAAAATATATTCAAATAGAAAACAGTTATTTGAAATAGCCTAGTAAAAATATTTCAAAATTGCCCCCCTTTGCTTTGTGAGTCTCTGCCTTAATATAGTTTGAATGTTCAATTCAGTTCTATTCAATTTATTTGTAAAGCGGTTTTCACAGTACATACTTCCAAAGCAGCTTTACAAAGAATAGTGCCTTAAAACATCCAGAGAAAACATTGGAAAAACTCACAATTATCTGAAGAGAGTGTTTGTGTATATACTGTCTATATACTGTAGACAGAGAGAGAGAGAAAGAGCAAGAATTAAACTGGCAAGAATTAAAAATTAAAAAATGCAATTTATAAACTTTAGTGACGATGTGACACTGCCTCGATGCAAGTGACTATTCCTGTGTCAACTGTGCAGCATGTACATAACATTTGTTTTAAACATGCCATTGGACTTTGTGTAAAAGACTTTGAGGCTGAAAATTATTTGATAAATGAATTAGTGATCATTACTTCATGATATATTGTAACAATACAACTCTGCATTTAGACTTTGCTTAACACATGCATGCATTTTGGACTTTTTATTTATTTCTTCAAATACTTTTGAAAGTATAAATAAATTGTTAAGAGTAAAAAGCACTCATAGCTCCTCCTTTGTGTTTAGAAAAAGCAGCAGATCATTGTCGAACATTCATACCGATACCACTGACATCTCACGATTTGGGATACCACAGCAAAAACTCATATGCTAAATAATACTCCTTTTTTTAAACTGTTCAATATTATTACAAATTTAACCAAAAACCAAGTAAATTAAAAGTAATGAGTTGTTTTCAATTTTTATTATTATTATTATTTTTTATTTTTTTCTTGCCAGTATTGTTGTTTGATCACTATTAATGCTGTAATTCTCTTCTTGTATCATATGTGTTTTGTTTTAGTATCAAGTCGTTGCCAAAGTATGGTACAGTCATGATATCCTGTGTTTTATGTCCTGCCAAGTGATGCTATTAGAAAGCCTGTATGCACTGTCTAAAAATAGTTCATTAGTTTAGTTGTTTAAATTTCTTGATTAGTATAGCTGCTGTGTGTAAATGACTTTTTTCACAGGATGAATCACAGCCTCCTCAGGCCATTCCCTCCATATGCATCGACGACTGACAGGTTGTGCTTTGTTTTTACCACTTTAGGGAACTTTACTCTAGCCGAGCTGGGCATTTGTGAACCGGCCCCGCATCAGAACGCGTACTGCCCAGACATCGGCCTCTTGCAGCGCGGCTACTCTCTGAGTGCCAGCTCCGACGCGGACTCCGACCCAGAGGGCACGATCTCACCGGAGCGAGCCATCCAGCTGTGGGCCGGCCACGACATCAAGTCCCGCCGCAGCTCTGGCCTCTCCAGCCGGGAGAACTCAGCTCTTACCCTCACCGACTCTGAGAACGAGAACAAGTCTGACGACGAATCAGGTGAGAGATAGCATGCGAGAATTAGCAGAGCAAAGAGTGAGTATCGTGTTTACGAGAAACCGAGGGTGTGACAGAAAAGGCGTTTAGAGTGTAAGGTCTAAAAAAAAAGTTGAAACGTGATAAACATTCACTTTTATTTGTTCGACTCGTTTAGAGCTGAATGAATTTCATTTTGCGTTGCTCTTACCTGGGTGTCACTGTGCTATACTTTTGAAAGTATAAATAAATTGTTAAGAGTAAAAAGCACTCATAGCTCCTCCTTTGTGTCTAGAAAAAGCAGCAGATCATTGTCGAACATTCATACCGATACCACTGACATCTCACGATTTGGGATACCACAGCAAAAACTCATATGCTAAATAATACTCCTTTTTTAAAACTGTTCAATATTATTACAAATTTAACCAAAAACCAAGTAAATTAAAAGTAATGAGTTGTTTTCAATTTTTATTGTTATTATTATTATTATTTTTATTTTTTTTCTTGCCAGTATTGTTGTTTGATCACTATTAATGCTGTAATTCTCTTCTGGTATCATGTGTGTTTTGTTTTAGTATCAAGTCGTTGCCAAAATATGGTACAGTCATGATATCCTGTGTTTTATGTCCTGCCAAGTGATGCTATTAGAAAGGCTGTATGCACTGTCTAAAAATAGTTCATTAGTTTAGTTAGTTAACTTTCTTGATTAGTATAGCTGCAGTGTGTAGTGTGTGTGTGTAAATGACTTTCTTCACAGGATGAATCACAGCCGCCTCAGGCCATTCCCTCCATATGCATCGACGACTGACAGGTTGTGCTTTGTTTTTACCACTTTAGGGAACTTTACTCTAGCTGTTTCTGCCATATGAAATGTAGAAAATATGAGTTCGGCATGCTGTTCTTGTAATTCAGTATGTGATTTGTATACTAGCATACTACTTTTGCTATTTCTGTCATATAAAAGGTAGAAAATATCCATTTGGCATGCTATTCTTGTAATTTGGTATGCATTTGGCATACTAGCATAACACTCTTACTATGTCTGCCATATACTGTAAATACATAGTGTTATGCTATTATGAATTCAGCCAATCTTAACTGTTTAATTGAACGAATGTTTCATGCATCTTATTCATGACAGAGGCTAACATATGCCTAAAATCAGGCTGCTAAGAGCCTATCAAAATTCAGATGGTGGTATTTTAAATTTTGATTGAGCAGTCATCGTGGCGGTCTACATATAAGTACAGTGATTCTATAAGTATTATTTTGCCCAGAATTGGCCTTATGCATCCATTAGACCTATTATGTTCACCACACATGTTCTTGGATTGTTGCTTGTGGCTATATATATATATATATATATATATATATATATATATATATATATATATATATATACATATACATATACATATGAAAAACTTACATGAAAAACTAGATAGGGCGTGATTGATACTTCTGTGAGTCTGTGCTTGAGAAAATCAAGCTTTCTTGCAGCTGAACTGAATTAGAAGCGGGATATTGCTTTGTGTGGATGTGTTCTCACAAGGAAGAAAGCGTATGTTCAAAATAGAAGCAAGTAAAACGCTTTTAAGCCTCACCCCTATCTTTGCCCCTTATCTTTTTTCTTTCACATTTTTTGTGCATGCTGATGCACTTCAATATACTTCTCTCTCTCATATTCCTCTTTTGCCTTGTTATAAGGATGTGTCAGCAGCACCAATCACTTTGAAAGACAGGTGTCACTCACAAAGGGAGAGCGAATGGGGTCAGAAGAAAATTTTCATCCATTATCACCCTCCGTCTGCCTCTTTCCAAATACTCTCCCAGACGTAAAAGCGGCTTTCAAAGTCTACCACCCGCTTTGACTAAAAACATCCATTTGTGCTTTTGAGATGTTCGGTCTAGACATGGGCATACTAGTCAATATCTGATTGGGCACAGAGTCAGAAGTTGTTGAGATAAAAATAGCAGTCGCTCTTCAAGGTTCTTCAGACAAGCAGCTTTTAGCGAAGATTGAGCATCACTGAGCTTTAATTATTTGTTTAGTGTTATTTAATGTCTGTTAAAATTAATACAAGTTATTCCACTGTGATGCATAAGGTTTATTGTGAAGAAATATACAAAACCTCTTTTTGAATTTAAATTAAAGCCAGTTTTAACTTATTCAGTATGTGATTTTGCAAGACATGTAGGGAGGTTGTAAAATACACACCATGAAATAAATAATGCAGCATTTTATTCACTATTCATCAAGTCTGAGAATTGTGCCATATAGAAGTAAAAAATACATATAAAAAGAAATAATCAATCCACTGGATGTGCAATATACATTACCGTCTTAGTATCTTATGCTCACCAAAACTACAAATCAAAACTATAGTAAAAAACAGTAATATTGTGAAATTGTATTATATATTTAATATATTTTAGGATATTCCTGTGATGGCAAAGCTGAAGTTTTTGCAGCCATTACTCCAGTCTGCAGTCTGAAAAAAGGCATTGGTGCGTATAAATAACAATATCTGAAATTTAATCAAATTTAAAAACAGACATGTTTTATTGCATATCACAATGTGGTAACATGTCTCATTAGATCGTCTATAGTGATCTTATTTATACAAAATCATCATTACATCAAAGTTGATGTATTTTTTTGCAGCGGCTGCAGTGTGGAAATTAAAACTTGTCATTTGATACAGTGTGATACGGATCAGTCAGGGGCTTGTTGCATAAACTACTTAAACACTATAGCCTTGTTCAGTCCAAATCCAATTGTTGTGCATACTGTATCTGTTTGGAACGGCAAATTATCACATGAAATGCGATTTTTGAAAATCCGTTTTAAGTTACATTCATATGGGGTTTGAAATCATATTCAAATCACATTTCTGGAAATCTGTTTCAGTCTGACTGCTTCGAATGGATTTTGCGCCACAAAAAACCTAAACATGTCAGACATTGCTGAAGGAAACATGCTGAAAGTCATTGCAGAAACAAAGTTGTTGTTGTGAAGTGCAGGTTGTGCAGAAAATAACAATATGCTGCTAGTCCGCCTGCTCTGCACACCTCTTTGAATTCTGAGACCAGCGTAGAGAATAATGCTGTGCATACCAGCCTCCCTCGTTTCTGCTGCTGCTGGTAGTCCTACACATTGTCATGTTGTTAGACAACATCTGGATTGCCAACCCTTCCATGCTGTTGCTGTTTTTTGACGTAGACATACCAACACCTCATTGCCATAGAAACTTATGCAGCCAGCCCAAGTCTTATCATGATGACTGTGATTTGTGAAGTATCATAATGAGTTAATGTCAAATCCTGACTGTCTCCAGATAGTGAAGGTCTAAGGATTCCCGAATCTCCGCTAGCCTTTTAGAAATGGTATGTTTCAACAAATGCAAACCACTTTTTTGGTAATTTTTACAGTAGTTCAATTTTAAAGAAACAATAAAGGGATATTTCACCCAAAAATGAAAAATTATGTCGTTATTTACTCACCCTCATGTTGTTCCAAATCCGTAAGACCTTTGTTCATCTTCGGAACACAAATTAAGATATTTTTGATGGAATCCGAGAGCTTTCTGACCCTGCATAGACAGCAATGTAACTACCATGTTCAAGGTTCAGAAAATTAGTAAGAATATTGTTAAAATAGTCCATGAGACATCAGTGGTTCAACCTTAATTTACAAGCAGAGGAATGCACATGCGTGTACTCTCGTGAATGTGCGTTGAAGACTGACATGAAAGAGAAGAAATCTTTGAATAAAGTCGTTATTTTTGTTTTCTTTGCTCACAAAAAGTATTCTCGTAGCTTCATAAAATTACTGTTAAACCACTGATGTCACATGGACTATTTTAACGATGTCTTTACTACCTTAATGGGCCTTGAACATAGTAGTTGCGTTGCGGTCTATGCAGGGTCAGAAAGCTCTTGGATTTTATCAAAAATATCTTAATTTGTGTCTTACGGGTTTTCTAGGAAGTGTCTTCACCAAGCATTTGTTGTTAACAGTAATTTAGTATAGCACATTATTCACCACCATAACAAAAGCATCCTTCATACTGTAACTTCATTCATGCTGCACACACTATCAGATAGTTTCAACTCATCCCCTTTAAAAGAGTCAATAGTAAATTAAAGAGTTTGATTCCCTCTGGGACGGATAAAACAAACCCTTATTCGACTCTTGCTGCTTATCGATGGCGTCTCTTCCATGTTATCCTCCTAGAATATTCTCCTCACTACTTTTTGATGCCAGGTGAGGTGCACGGGGAGCTTGATAATGAGGCCAGGTGATTGTCTTATTAAGCAGGCTGGATGACTGGAAGCCTCTTCAATTTGAGTGACTGATTAATGCCCACATGCTACAGTTCCCAGAGCAAAGAGTCCGTGATCTTTACGTGTCTGGGGCTCCATTACGCTGCATGGGTGCTGTCATTTCCTGCTTCTGTCTCTGTAGTATTTAACTCCAGTATTTCAAGTGAATACAGCCGTTCATGGAGGTGCGAAGTGGTGGCCTGCCGTCCAGATGAGGTTGTCTGTCATTGCTGCACTCTGCAGCATGTTTGTTTGCATAAGTATTTGTACTCCAGCCAGATAAGAAATTATCCCATCATTCGGTTGCAGTCCCATGCGAGTTGCGTTTGGCAGCGGTTCGGCGATCAGCGTTTCGCATCACGTTCGCTAAACAAAGCCACCTTGGTGCCCCATGCTGCGAGAAGAGTGGGCGGCTTTTGTTTGCAGGATTATTTGTATTCTCCCACACTGATCTGCGTCACTAAGCATTTAAGAAGCTTTGTTGGGGACTCTGAAAAATTGTGTTTTCTTCTTGATGATTTCTTCGTTTTCTGTTACAAGACATTTATGATAATTAAGTTTGAAGCTTAAATGTTTCCCTGCTGTGTAGGAGGCCCATGACCATAGACGTGCAGCACATAATAGAGAGGATTGTGGGACTGACCATTACGTTTCATTATTACAATAAGTGCAATTGTTTTCCTTTTTTTATCAGC